CCTTTTCTTTCCTTGTTATTTAGGTATTATTTACCTTTCCAGAGTTAAGGGACTCCGATTCTCAGCCAGGAAGGACAACTCCTTCATTTATAATTTAATTTAAAATGTCTCAAAATGAAGCTTGAAAATTAATTATTTTTTTTCATGCAACAATTTTTATTATATACCTTCAATGTGTTTCAAGGTTCTTTGAAGTTCTCAGAAAGGTCTAATTAAAAGTCAAAATTTTTACCCCGTAAAAGCATATTAAAATTACATTTATCAAGAAATTGATGTTCATTTTAATCTAACCATAGATACCAATGTTTATTGACATGATATGAAATAAGAAGTGGTTTATGGAGCTTTGCAATGAAGCAGAATCCTTATACACTTTGAATTGTATAATAATATAAGTAAATAAAAGAAATTAAAGTACAATTATATGTATAAAAATTGTGGAATTTCTTCAAGCTGAATTGGAAAATGCATAGCAGGTGTTTTTATTTGCAATACCTGAAAATATATTTGAGATTTGCTAATTTTCTTTATATAATATGATTAACTTGAAAGATGAAGTTTGAAGAATTATTACGGGTAAAACACGTTACTTTGAAAACACAGCGACATTTTTGTGAGAATTTTCAAATAGTCAATGCTTGATATTTAGAAATGAGGATCGGAGTACCTTAAATGCTTTGTAGTATCAAATATTGCAAACAGAGAGAAATTTGAAAATAAAAGATTCTCTTCGAAAAGTATATAATTATGTTATAATAGAAAGGTTAAAATTAACATACAAGCAAGGAAAGCATCTGATAATGTGGAAAAAAAAATATAGACAAGAGTTGCAAATGCAAAATAATGCATTTGAAGTAATTTCAAATCATTTATTCATTGTCAGCTGTTTATTTTTATTTTACATATGAAAAGCTTATTGGTCTTACATTTTTCAATCTTATTTCTTCCACTATATTGAAGCAAAACAAAAAAGAAGCAATGCTGGATAAATAGCTCTGACAATATTTAAGTAATAAATTAAATACCAACCCAAGTTATACAGTTTAACGGTTTATGAAAAACAAACTGTTCCTACCAACGTTATATCGGTATAACTTGGGTTGCTATTTATTTCATTCTTATAGTTCAATTTTCAATCATCATGCTTAGAAAGCAAGACATTTTTGCCCTTAAAATTGTCTTCAAAATGTTCATATCTCAAACGTAATGTCAAGCGCATTGATTCGTTTTTTGACGTTAGTCATTGTGATGTAGGCAACCAAGGTAATACAATGTTGATTAATTTTTCATCCAATTAAATCACACGTTACAACTAAAATTAAATTATATGATGATAAAAGATATTGTCTTATTTCCAATTCAATTTTTTTTTGTCGATTCATAGTTTTCAAAAGCTTTTAAAATAGCAAGACCCGGCTGTTTTAATGCAAGTTTCTTCGTGTTTTTTTTTATAATATCACCGAAGTATGTGACATTTTTTTGTACAAAATACTATTGAAAAGAAACAACTCGAGAATATATATATATTTGAACATTGCTATTTTTGAGCACACATTACAGGATTACATACACGTCATTTGCAAAATTCCTTATAGATGTCATTTGATATTTGAACCCTTTAAAGCTTGAGCAGACCTGAATTGCATTTTTTTTATGACAAAGACATTTAACTCGTACAAATGACAATAGTTACAGATGATTATGAGAACAATTACCTCATTTTATCAACAAGATGTGCTTTATAAAATAAAATCCGAATATCATACCTAGATACCTTCCATACATATAGAACAACAGTTTAAACAGATATTTCCAATCAATTAAATGGAGAAAGAATCATTGCAGTTTAACCACCTTTAACGATTACCGGTTTGACTGTATTTAAATGACAAAGGAGTGAAATATACTTACGCAACATTAAAATTCATTCATGTAACTGAGCTTTTGTGAACACAAAGATCTCCAGAATTTTCTTTGAGATAAGTTTTCGATAAAGGTATTGATCATTGAGGTAAGAAAGACTTATGGGTTGTTGCTCTGGGTGACTGATAAAAGATCTTCCTTACGTAACAATTAAATGCGTCGAAAAAACACAATAGATCAGGGTGTAATATTATTTCAATATGGGTGATTGTCATCTCCTGCAAAAAATAAATGATAAATCAAAGTACTGAAAGTACTCATTGGAGTTGAACATTACAATCTGAAAGATCTCACAGGAAGTAGAGGAACATTTTCATGCTTTCAGATTCAAGTCAGCTAGAACTGATTTGTAAGAGATACTGTACAACATGAAACATTAAGAATAATTTCAATTGCATTTGAATAGCGCAGACCTCTAGCTCTCCGAAAATATATTTTGACAGACCGGAGAGCTACAGTGCCACCTATTGAAAAAACTGTAATATATATTGCGCAAAAAAGTGCCCTGTTTCTCGATTTATTTTTCCATGTTTTTAAACTGTCATATCAAAATATATCTAACCGTATTGTCTAACATATTCTTTCACTGTTTCCACAAAAAACATGCCTTATAATTGTTGTTAGTAGCCCTTCTGGCCTTGAAATTGAGATCATCTAAAATGTCGTCTATTTATGCTGCAATTTTGGTTTGCGAGATAATTTGGTCCAACACACTTCGTGCAAATGTCAAATATAAGCGAACTTCATAGAGGAAGAAGGATTTTTTTTATAATTTTTTACGTTTGTGGTAAGAATTAGAAAGAATTACTAGTAATCCAGATCTATGCTCAACTTTTTGTGCGCAATAAATTTACAGTTTTTACAGTGGGTGGCACTGTAGCTCTCAGGACTGTCAAAATATTTTTTTCGGAGAGCTACAGTTCTGCAGCTAAGATGTTAGGAATAAATTCAATTTACTTAGCACTGTTTTTGAATGTTTGTGTGTAGGGGGGGGGGGTGAAAAACAATTAAACTTACCCGATAAAAACTTGACAACAATTTGACCAAACAAAATAAACAACCCCCACCACCAAATTTTTTTTTTCCAAACTCGAAAGTGCTATTGTTTTACTCTCTCTCTCTCTCTCTCTCTCTCTCTCTCTCTCTCTCTCTCTCTGTATTCATTCTAAAAATGTACCAAATAATAATCTATGCTTCATACATTTTTTTTCAATGTCTATATGTACTTGTAATTGTACCTTGACCTATGCCTCCTGTTCAATCCATTTCTTAATGAATAAAATATATTTTAAACAAAAAATACTATTTTATGGTTAGGTTTCAAACTTCTTTCAGTACCATTTATTACTCGTACTCATACACTACCTTTACACTTATGAAGCATTTGAATCAAAACGCCCCCTACTCTTTTTTGAATATGTACAAGATATTTGGTCCCAACAAACAAGGACTCTTCATATATTCGATGTTACTATCACCATTTTGTCTTCCGCTGATTAGAACAAGCGTGTGTTATTCTCTTTTGGGTATGAATGGTCCTTTTCGGACACATTAATTTTTATAGAATTCTGTGCTTATCTTTTATATCAAATTGTATTTATAACTTAATCATCAAGTTTTTTATTCCATAATCTTAAATTTCATTTCTAGTAATTTTTATTTGGAAGTATTTCAGAATACATTTTGTTTGTTTTACATTTCATAATGTAGGAAGTAAGTATGTCTGAATTGTTTTATTTATCTGAATGCTTCACATGTTGTTTGTTTTACATTTTCACATTCAATAATTTTTCACTAGGGGCCTGGATAGGTGTCGGATTCTGATTGGCTAAGAGGCTTGGTGTGTCAACGGAGTGTACTTTTTATGGAAATGAGGTAAAAAAAGGCCTGATTCTGATTGGCTAAGAGGCTAGATGGGTCAAGGGAGTGCAGGTTTGACCCCCCCCCAAGACCGCTTGGTGGGTCAACTAAGTACAGGCCTTAGGGGCTACGTGAGTCAAGGGAGTACAACCCCTGGGTGGGGATAGGTGGGTCAACTAACTTAAAAAAAACCTTAGTCTTTTACACTAGGTAAATATGCTGCTACTACGATCTGGCAGCGATTCAAGTACGTTTTTTTTAATTTAATCAATATTTTATTATGTAAGTAAGATTACATAATTGGATTGGACATCAGGCATGGCCTATATAAGTCCTCTCCAAAAGTATGTGATTATGACGTCGCGTTTCATTCACAGTCAGCCAGCCGAGTTGCATTTTCTGAAAACGGAAAAAAACCCAATAAGGATACACAATACAAAACAAATTTTTATTCAGAGTCAATATAGATACAGAGTTTTTTCTTTTTCTTCTTCTGTGACTTTTCGGTCGGGGGAAGTTTCCTCTTGTTGAGCTTGGTCACTTGGCTCCTGAGTGTCCCAGAAAACAGAATGATTTGTGCTATCGATGTGGAGAAATAGGACACTGTGTCAAAGATTTCCACAAATTGAAAAGAGAAGATAAGGAAATTATATACAGAGGACTTTCCGTGCATTTTCAGTCTGGGGAAGTTTCCTCTTGTGGGCGCTGGTGAGACTCTCTAGGCATTATGACGTCATACACTTGTAAAATTGAAGTTTCATTTTCAGTTTTTTTTTCTCAGAAGTGAACTTAGATTTTTCAGAAAATGTAAGACTATTCTTTTGTTTCTCCTCTCTTTTTCTATGATGATTTTCATGCTGTGAAGCTTTTTCTTGTATTTCTCAATTTCTCTATGACCACGGGAGTAAATATCCTGTTATGTTTCCTTACATCACTTAATTTGTATGCTCCCAATATCTGAAATCTGTCTACATATTGTTCTTTTTTCTTTGTTTGTCTGAACACAAAAACCCTGGCCCAATTTTTTTAAATAAACAACATGGAGACTTCACATCTGACAAAAAGGATAATCAGAGTGTATATCACAGTCTTGACAAAAAGTCAGTTTAAAATGTCCACGTCACAGCATATGGAAGTGACAACTTTTTTTATACATAATTTTGTAATAAGCAAACACTGAAAAGTTACTCTCATAATGAGCTTTAATGTCTTCCTTCCTAGACTTCACTTTGGACTTCCTCCATCATTAATCCTTGTATCTTCTCCAATGGTTCTGTGGGCTAAAAATCTGACATGTGTCTTTAACAATCTTTTTTTTCTGACAGCTAATTTCTCGGGACAACTGCACTTTACCGGTACTTACAAATTACATGAAATAGCATGTGCTCTTTCTCTATAAGAGAGTCACGCGTCAGCGTGACGATTTCGCTAAAACAACAATAAAATGCAAACATAACCCATTTTTGAATTACTCGTCATTTTTTTATGTTAATAAACTTCGTTTAATTAACGAAGTTATTAATTAAAAATGAAAGCATGTTCAAAACAAACCATTCACTTTCATTCTGTCGGCCACATTCCAAAGTCGTGACGTTGTTAAGCACGTGACTTATTTCAGTGTTGTGATTTGTCAGGGTAGGTGACCTGAAATAGAAAGTTTGACTTCCACTCTTTACAATTGTAAACAGTGATTCAACGTCCACCTTGTTTACGATGATTTGTAGTGTGTTTACTATGAGTGCATATTTTTAATTGACTGACTGCAACATTCTAGAATCTTTGGAAATTTTAGCGATAAATGTGATCCTTAGATTATGGAAATGTTGAATAAGTGGAGGGGCAAAACTTTTAAACATGCAGTGAGGTCGGTCTTGTTTCGAGAAACAGCAATCGACAGTATAAGAAAAATGAAACGTAAGAGTCACATCTTAGATTTCTGGAAACAGAGCTGCAGTTAATCTAACATACTCCTGGATTTACAAACTAAAAAATCTGGAGATTTCAATTTGCAAAACACTGGATTATACTTTACAGTTATTGAGACTACATGGAATGCAGTTAGGAAAAAAGAATGCACAAGTATAGTAGCTAAAATTTAAAATGAACGTTTATCCCCTCCATCACCCATAAAAAAACGTATTTACAACTCAGTGCAAAAAAGACACAATAGTTCTATATGTATGTACAGTGACACGTATGGCTCCGAGTCTTAGCGCAGATTTATTTAGCGACTAAGGTAAGTTTGTTTTATTCATTTTTTTTATACATATTGGGGGCTGCCTCCCCAAACCCCCGCTTAAAGAAGTAAAAACTCCATTTAGATATCTGTTTTCTCGCTTCGAGAGTTTCTTTCACAACAAAATTGCGTCGCCCATCATAGTAGAAACATGTACGTTCCCAAGTTTTTACGCCGCGCACTCTCACGCGCGGATCTAGAATCAAAATGGCGACCGTACCGGTAAAGTGCATTCTATTCTGAGAATGTTTCCCCATAAGTTTCATCTATCCTGGCACAGTGGTTCTTGAGAAGAAGATTTTAAAACACACCACCAAATTTTCATTAATTCCCAATTATCTCCCCTTGAATGAGGGCGTGGCCTTTCATTTGAACAAACCTGAATCCCTTTAACCCAAGGATGCTTTGTGGCAAGTTTGGTTGAAATTGGCCCAGTGGTTCTTGAGAAGAAGTCGTAAATGTGAAAAGTTTACAGACAGACAGACAGACGGACAGACGGACAGACAGACGGACGCCGGAGAAAATGTGATCAGAAAAGCTCACTTGAGCCTTTGGCTCATGTGAGCTAATAAAAGACAAGCATATTTCTGATAAATTTGGGAATATTTGTAGTTTTAGGTAAAAACCGATCCCGATTGAAATAAAACCGACCCCGATTGAAAATAATGAAAATTTTGTATAGTCATAAAAATTACGACAACTGTCACCTGTAAGACATGTAAAAAATAAATCAAGTAATTTTTCGACCATATTACAACAAAAGAGCCAAATTTAACATTACAATTATAGTATTTCCTTCTTCATATCATTCCGGTCGGGATCGGTTTAATTAGGAAAAATTGTTAAACATAGGTAAATTTGACTCCTTTTATTTCCCTAAATATATCAGTGCCCACTGATTTTATTAAGTGACTCTAAAGTTTGTACTTTGTATTCATAATAACATGAGAAAAAAATCTTTCATTTTAATGTATTGGGTTTTATAAAGTAATGAAAATTGGATAATGAATTCAAAAAGTTATTTAGTAAACTCAATTTTGGACCACATAATTTCTTCTGAAGAAATATAAATTGGAGTCTAATTCATTAATAAAATTAAAGATAAGGGTCTATGGTATAAATAATATTGATAGACACATCCAGGTTTTGCGTATCAGGTACATATAAAACAAAATAAAAACGAAGTAATTTTTTTCCCCACCATGTTGATCTTTTTGCACTTAAAATTGAGCACTTACAAAAATAGGACTAGTGAAGCACTGAATTTTTTTTGGATGTTGTCATATGTAAACACTCACTTTAATAAATCTGCATGCAAAAAAATAAAAAATAAAAATCCATGACATGCAATGTGCCACCCATTGCCTGGTTTTCACTGCACTGCCTCTTTATAAATGTATTTATGTAAAAACTACGTGATATAGAATGGTATGATATTTTCAAATTATTACAACAAATGAATCTTCTCAACAATTGTAGGAAGAAAATCAAATATCACCGATGAAAACCAACGTTCCGTGATGAATCATAAAAACTATAAATCTGTACTTTGCGGCACGTGTTTTGTGTAATCAGCATCTTTTTGTGATCATTATCAAATTTTAAAGACTGGTTTCACTTAAAAACACAAAACATTGTCAAAATGACCATTGAGATAGAAAGGAAACCCGTTGGAATGTTGATATCTGGACCATCCTTGCACCACGTTTTACTCACTTTTATTTTAGTTTTTAATAGTCCTTGATATTATTTTTAAAAATAAACAACCAGATTAAAAACCCATTAATCACATTTTTCTAAAGACATTGCGTCATTTTCATCGCTAATTCATCACAATTTGAAAACGTTGGAAAAGAATTTAACCAAATCGGAAGTGACCTTGATCTTGATCTGAGGCTAACATTTCCTGTCACACTATGTTAAAAGAGTGTTAATTAAATTATCCTGAAATAATCTTACAAACATGAAAACAAACAATTTCAATCGTATGAAAATGATAGAAAATTGGTGTTTGTGACAGTCTAATATCAGACCAAGCAGTCTGAATCATCCTTAAAGCAGTGCACTTTCGTGCTAAACGCCCAAGTATATTGACCAAAAGGCCTTTGTGTGATGATGCACTGTCAAATTCCCAGATCTGAATCCCATTGAACACATTTATGATTTTTATAAGGAATGTCAAAGCTCACCCCCCCCCTTTTCCACAAAATTCAAAGATTTGAAAAGATCTATGCAGTAGGTGTGGCAGCAGATGGTTCAATCTCCTATTCAGGGGTACATGGTATCCAACAGTAAAGAATGTCTTGCAGTAATTAGAGCGAATGCTTGTTTTACTCCATAGACTTTATTTTGTGTGAATTTTTATTTTGAGGGTACATGTACATGTACCTCATTTCCTTGACACTTTGCTTAAAATTCCGACGAGATACTTACATGATATTTACGCAACATGGAACTGAAATATGCATCATTAACCATGAATCAAAGAAATTTATTGCAAGCACTTTTTCTTTAAAACTCAAAAAATGTTAGGTGAACACTTAGAAATTTTGTTCAGTGTATATGTTTTTTGTTTATTAGTCCATAATTTACTTAATTTTATCGTTGAGTCCACGGTTCTTCTTGATATTAATTAGGGATGTCAAATCGGTCAATATTTGGTCATCGGTTACTCGAACGTTTTTTTCCGATAGAGTACCTGGGTACTCGGTAAAATAGTATTTTTTGTTAATATAGCACATAAAGTGAATGCAAATCTACTAGCGAATTACTCAATTTGTTTGCTCAAACCTTTGCATTTATGAGATTATCTTTCAAAAAGTAATGAGTCAATACTAAAGCGTTCACCCATTTCTACAAAGTTGCATCCATTTTTTTGCTACTTTTGAAAGCTAAGGAATGTTTATTCTATGTATTTATGTATTCATGTATGTTTATGTATCTGTATACACAAACTATGTTGACCCACCAAGACCCAACCCATAGAAGATGATTAATGTCATCATAACTCAGGCTCCTTGGTCGCACTATTCCATGTTTTTCTGTCTCTATCATTTGAAGGAAGTGGCCATCCATGTCAATCATCTGTATGTTGTCATTTTTATGATCGCACACCAAGATGTTTGACAGCTCGTCCGTACAGATTCCGCGAGGCCATAATGCATTACCAGGTCCTGTGTACGTGAAACGATGATTTCCTCCCCGCTCTGTCACCACCAAAGCTTGCCGACCAGAATCAGACACAATAACATCACCATTCCGGTTCTCTGTGATGCATTCAGGTGTTTGATAAAGTCTTTCACTTTTTATGTCTGGTATTGTCTGTATGTGTAGTCCTGTGTAGCTGTAGCGATTCACCCGTCCTTCATGTACATCAGCGATATGCATCCCCACCAGTAGATCTCCGTTAGAGGGAGAGCAATAGACACATTGTGAAAGCCATGGTTTTGATTGCCTTACTAGTAAAGATTTTCTTTTGTTATCCGAGGATAGTATGTTAATGTTTGATTCAGTGTCTATGTAAATAAGAGCACCATTTATGTTCATTGTGTGGATTCCCCATCCACAGGAATTGTTTACATCTGTAAGTAAATTTAATACTTCTCCTGTTGTAGTGTTCGTCAAGATAAGATTATTGCAAAAGTCACTGAAACAGACCTTTTCTTTACTACAGGAAATGTGTCCTACACCTTGAACACCTGGTATTGGGCCAAATGTGGTTAGAAATTGTGAAGGCATCAATTTCAGCTGAAAAAAATTTCTTACTTTTCTTTTTCCAGTTTCTATGATCTGAATGTCACTCAACAGCTTTATGTCATTCTTCATATTGATGTCCTCATTCGGGGGGGCCAGCTGGATGTTTTGCATAATTTTAGCAGTGTCCTTTATTTGTGAAACGCGTGTATTCTTGAGGAATAAGAGGAATTTAACTGGAGTACGTGCTTTTTGTTCAGATCTTTGCTCATACGTCTCTATGCTGGCAAGGTTTCTTTTCATTTTTCTTTTCTGGTGCTTCAGTCTATGAATAAAACTCCTCTTTTGACTACATACATTATCATTTATAACAATGATGCTAAGGTTCTTAAGTCTCTCAGCTTTTGTAATCATCTCTGATTGGCAGATAGATATTTCTCTTTGATAAATTTTTATGTCGGTTTTGATTCCTTCTAGGATAACATTACTGTTATAAAGCGTTTCACTTCTGATACGATGAAATGTTTCTCTATGTTGCTGACGATTAAGATCAAATGCTGTTTTTATATAAAGTAATTTGTGCTTTCTATGTTCAGTACACTGGAGGCAGATAGGAAGTCCACATGAAAAACAGTACATTGTGTACACCATGTCTGGATGTCTCACACAAGCCTCCTGTTTCTGAATGTATTTATCTCTTTCCCGGTATTTTACAACATCATGGTAAATATTTAGATCAAGATCATAATTTCTACACAATAGACACAGGTCTTGTTTACACGTGTTACAGTAGAATTCTGTGTCCCTATAACATTGTGAACACTGTCGAACTTTACACTGTGTGCTGAATCCAAGCAGGTCCATGATGTAATGGTTCCAGGGTTGTTTGACTGGGAGTTGCTGAAATTAATAAATACCATTAATTACTTAGTGTTCTTTTGGGAAAAAAGTAATTTCTGTACCTTTGAAATGATGAAAAAATGAAAAATGATGAAGAAGAGTTTAAAAATGTACCTTTTATACATGTACTTTAAGTCAAATTTCTGGCGTTCGAAAAAAAAAATTGAAAAGAAGTAGAAAGAGAATAATGACAAAGATTAAACGAAAAAATGTAATGTTATAGCTAAAGGATTTCTGAAAAGGGTTGTTATATAAAAAGTGCATTTTTGAAGGTATTAATTGAAATTTACACCAAAGAAAAACCACTGTCATCCTACGCGTCAGAGGAGGTTAACAATGGTTTTACGAGGGTGTCAATTTCATAAGTTACCCTCATAAACATGCACTGTTTATCTATAATTATACTGAATGTCATCGCCTTAGAATGTCAGCTAAAAAAATTGATACATCTTTGGTACACAGTTAACACATAACATTAGAGGCTTATACTTTTATTGCAGAACGATATACAGTGAATATTTAGTTTAAATCATTTCTGATTTTTTTAAAATAGGAAAAAGCCCCTATTTACTGTATAACATGCGTGTTTGTTAGTATTATTAATAGTGTTTTGTTTATTATTCAAGGATTCTACTCATAAAATTTAGACACAGGTCATTTTTACACGCCTACGTACATTGGAATCCTGTGATCCATTTAAACTATGAACACTGTCGTACTTTACATTGTATGCTGAATGCAAGCAGTTCTATTAATTGTTCCAGGGTAATAGGAACAGCTGAAAGCGGTATTCTAATGATAAAAGCTTGTACCTTACAGAAAATGGTAACCTTACTTTACTAACAAAATTTATGATAAATGTTCTGACTTTGAACTTTCTATAGACAATTTCTGCTTTTTTGATGTAACAATATATTATCTATATATGCAGCTTATGAATTTCAGTTGTTTCGATATGCAGGGGTTTGCTCTACTTTCGAACAACTCTATAGCCAAAACAATGACCTTGTCAGCAAATGCTCTCTGTCAAAATCTAATGCTGACTGGCTTTTCATACTAATTGTTAGAACATTTTTACTGTGAAATTATCATTTGTCTTTTGGGACCATATTTGGAATTTATGGGTAATTCCTACCCATGAACTCACGTACTTCCCCACAAACATTCATTTTGTAAACATATTGATTCATTGAATTAACAAAAAACAAAGAAACAAAAAAACAAAAAAACGCACGAAATTACATTATCACGAATAAGTAAACATTTGATTAGGAACGAACATTCATCCCCACAAATTAAAATGACTCTGCAGTACATTATGGATTTTCAACAGTTTTTCTGTTTTTCCCGATATTGACGACATGTAGCACACAGCGGATGTAATTCGCCAACAGAAAATGTTTACTGTTCTATACGGCGCATGATCACACCTCCGATATTTTTTAAAGGTTACCGTTTGTTCTGCTGCTAATGGTCTTGTTTAAATGATTAAGCATTGATCATTATCTTCATTTTTTAAAAATATATGATTGAAAAGTACTGAAAAATATTTAAAGATACAGTCTTTAAATTACCTCAAAGGTCCATCTCTGGCATGCGAAAAGGAAGTCGGACAGAAAATGAAAACAAAGACGTTTAAACGGAAGAAAAAATGTAATAGCTATTAAATTCTGAAATAGGATCGTATATTTTTGATATACCTGTTGGCAAGGAAGATAATTCAACCAAATAATAAAAAGGTGTGTAAGAAAAAGAGGATAAAATCTAGGAGACCTATTGTTCACAAAACAATAACAGGTCTTTCCACCTTATTTGAATTTCAATTTTGTTTTGATGTAAATCCTTAAAATGAAATTTCCTTGAAATTAATCAAAAATGGCCCAAAGGATAGAACAAATGAAAATCTTAAAAGTGTTGAAATAATGATCTTTGACCTTGAATAGATTTTTAAGGACAAAGATAAAGAATCACATTACAATTAAGCCCATGCCTCTATGACTTATTATTTTAAACTTATAAGGTTTAATACAAAGCAAAGACGTTATAACGTATTTTATCATATAAGGGGTCATCAGATCCTTTCACATTGATAAAATGAAGTTTTGTCCAAAGATTCTGGGGGCATTAGTGAAGATTTGGTGTCTCTTCGGTCTACGGTTTCAGAGAAGTAGCAATAAAAAGTTTTTTTTTCCCATTTCTTTACTACTTCTCATTTTGAAACTTTTTAAGTATTCGTAATTGTCGAAAACATTCAGGGGCAATAATCCATTGAAGGGATCAACGAATACTTTGAATTTGCAATGATAGATTCAAGAGTCCTCTGAATTAATCGAAGAATTTAGTGAAGGTTTCATATTATCATGGTTTATGGTTTCAAAGGAGTAGCGATAACAAGCTTTTTTTCATAAGGGGCAATAAATTCGAAAGGTGTCATAGGTTATAAGCGTTCAGTCAAATTTGTTCCTAACTTTTTATGGCCTTTACGATGAACAAAAAAATGTATTGATAAATGTCGAAACAAAAAAAAAGCGGAAGAAAATTATACGTAAGATTAATAATAATAAACAGAAGGATGTGGTGATAACGAACAGTATTCAATCTCAAAGTCCATAAAACAATACAAAATAAGAGCAGAGCAAACACGGACCTCTGAAACATCTGACGTGGGATCAGGTATATGAAAAGCGTTTTGCTCATACAGTTTGCAATCTTATTTCTTCCTTTATGTTTAAGCAAAAAAATAAAATGCTGGATTTATAACTCTGACAATATTTAAGGAATACATTAAATAGCAACCCAAGTTATATTGTAAAACGATTTATAAAAAAATATAAACTGCTCCAACCTAGGTTATAGCGTACATGTATAATTTGGGTTGCTATTTATTTTATTCTTTATAGTTAAATTTTTAATTATCAAGTTCAGGAAACAAGGTATTTTCTTCAAATTGTTCATAGTTAAACCTTTATGTCAAGTTAATTGATTCCTTTTGACGTTAGTCATTGTGATGTAGGCAACCAATGTAATACAATTTAGATTAATTTTTCATCCAATTAAATACCGCGTTACAACCAAAATATAATTATATGATGATAAAATAATATCGTCGTTATTTCCAATTCACTATTTTTTTTCGTTGATTAAAAAAAATGAATAAGTAAAACAAATTAAGAATTGATAATATCTGTTAATACAATCTTTTGTATGCTTCGACAACTCGAACTGGCTTTTCATAGTTTTCAAAAGCTTTTAAAGTAGCAAGGCCTAGCTGTTTAAATGCAAGTTTCTTCATGTTTTATGTACTGTCACCAAAGGTGCAGGTATGTGACATATTGTTTTTGTAAAAAATATTATTGAAAAGAACCAACTCGAGAAAATATATTATATTTGAACATTGCTATTTTTGAACACACATAACATGATTACATACACGTCATTTGCAAAAATCCTTATAGATGTCATTTGATATTCAAACCATTTAAGATTGAGCAGACCTGAATTGCATTTTTTTTCATGGCAAAGACATTAAACTTGCACAAATGACCAAAGTTACAGATGGTTATGAGAACATGCATTACCTCGTTTCAAAAACATTTGCTTTATAAAATAAAATCCGAATTTCATACCTGGATACCTACCATATATATAGAACAACATTTGAAACAAATATTTCCGCCTCTCAATAAAATGGAGAAAGAATCATTGCAGTTTAACCACCTTTAACGATTACCAGTTTGACTGGATTTAGATGACAAAGGAGTGAAATATACTTACGAAATTAAAATTCATTGCATATAACTGAGCTTTTGTGAATACCAAGACCTTCAGAATTTTCGATTTTGATATACCTCTTCCCTGATATGAGTTTTCGGTAAAGGTAATGAAAGAGACTTCCGATAAAAGATCTTAAAAATTCCTGACGTAAAAATTAAATGCGTCGAAAAATACATGTATATAAAAGATCAAAGTGTAGTATTTTGTAGTTTTATTTCATTATGGGTGATTGTCATCTCCAGCAAAAAATAAATTGTAAAAACTAAGATTAAGATTTTAAGAATTCAATGAAATGAAATTTATGTAAAAATTCAAATTAGGAGATGTGCTCTTCAATTTGCTACACCTCTTATTTTTTGTACAGTGACTCATTGTCAAAGGACAAGATAGGGTAACAGCCGAATCTGGTCCCTTATCTTTTTCAAAAATCAGAACACTGGTCAAATTGTGAAAGTGTGTAGTAAAGAAGTTAAAAATGATGCTTACTTTAAAACAAGCACTAATTTTAATTCAAAGCTTACATGGAAGCCACTAGAGGGCGCAGAAATAGGGCATTTCAAGAATTTCCTCAATTCTGGTTGAATTTTATCATATTTGGGATACATTTCGGAAAACATAGAGCACAAGCTTGCCTATCTGAGATTTTTACATATAAACTGCATCTGATATAAGTATATAAGAAACATAAATTTGGTAGATAGGCAAGCGTGTGCTCTATGTTTTCCGAAAGAAAATGTGCTGTAAAATTGATGAAAATTTGCATAAAAATGAGAAATGTCGAAAATTGACCTATTTCCTGACCTCACTGTAACCCCTGTATATTCTAAATCTTAAAACAACTACTCATTATGTGGCAGGGGCTACAACAGGTTTTTATGGATAAGAGGTGGTATCACACGTTTAGTTTTAGTCACTGTCTACCGGTCAATTCTACCATTAGTCATTTTAATTGGTTAGTTAAAAGTAGTATCTTCAGTCAAAATATTGAAAACAATTACATTACTTGGCTTGTTGAAAACAAGGTTATTCTGATAATTATAGAGTTTTCAAAATCCTTACTTCAAAAGAGATAATAATGCAACTTAGAACCACCTTACAAAATATACTTTAGTTATATGTAACTATAGTTAACTTTATTACTGTAACTCCATCGGCCTTGGCAAGGTTAAAGATCACACAAAATTCTCTGGATCAGAGAGCTACGTGTACCAGATGGTCAAGGTAAGGTCAAGGATCACACAGAATTCACTGGACCAGAGAGCTACTCGTACCAGATGGTCAAGTAAACTAATCATGGTGTAGCAGATAATTTAACAGCAAAATATCCCCGGATCTTAAGTTTTTACAATATATCTATAAACTTACTGATTTCAGAGCATGTTGATGTATACTTAAACGACAAGTCTCTGTCTTTTATGTTTCTTAATGAATCAAGATAATTTGCCATGAGAAGATATAACTCTCGAGCTCCTTTGATTTTCTTTCTCAGGAGAAAAACTTGGGTTGGTTTCCTTGATTGAGAGCGATGTTGCTGACGGCTGAAGACATTGAAGGGGAACTGAGTGATCACCGAAATCTACAGGCTCAGCTACAAACAGACTAGTGAAAAACCTGTCTAAACAGCTGACCGACCTAAAGGAGCAGGTTAGTGTTCAATATAATACAGACTGGTAAAGAACTTATCTGAATGGATAACTTTAGCCACAGATTGTGGCTACACACAGGGGTATTGAAACCACGAAATGAAAATTCCGCTCAAGTTTTAATTTTATTGCCCATTGGTTATCAAAGAGATTTATTATACCTCTATTGATAATACTCGAATTTGATTGGTTGGTAAGAAAATTTAAAACACAACAATGACTCCAAATGGTACTGTTTACAGCAATACTGACCTAGGAATCATTGCACGTGGGATATAATGACCCGGTCAATATTTCTAATGACCGCTGAAAATGACCGCTTTATCAAAAATTCGTTTTGAGTAAAGTTAATGCATAAAATAATAATTATTCGAAAAAACAAGATGTTTTTAAAATTATGCATGGTCTGTTTTGCATTACCATACAGAATACGGTAAAATTTTATCGTTACAATAGTCCAATCCACACTTTGCAAAAGTGTTTCCCTTTGCGGGGTCAACCAAAAGGTCAAAAGGGAAAGAAACGTCATTTCTTCTCTTTATGCTACCAAATATTTGGGCGTGCTGTGAAAAATCCATTGTGTTTAATTTTTTTTCTTTCAATGTGTGGGTAGCCCCATCTTGGGGCAATCAGTACACAAAAGGCAGAGCTTTGTTCAAGTCAAATAACGAAGTTACAAACCTGAAAACTACAAAAGTTACTGTGTGGATTGTATGGGTTTATCCCCTAAAATGGCAGCCAAGGGACATAACTTTTGAAAAGTGTGGATTGGTCTATATATCGTTTCAATATATCGTTACTATTCAGTTCAATAGTATGTAGAGGCTGTTCTTTAGGAGTTGAATTCTGTGTTAGATTTTGACTGTGTAGAGGAAAAGTAATCGTTAGTTAAAACAATGTATGTCGCTATCAACCAAATGTTGTTTTAATCAGTAAATCAAGATGCAAAAACTTACACGACTTGCAGACGTAATCTAAACAACTTCACTACCCGGTCTGTAGCGAATCCCGATCCGGATCAAGGATAGAATTGATACAATGGTTAGAAATTCATACTTTTCAATATATATCGGTATAATAAAACAATTAATTACCCCTTTTTTACTCGTTATTTACAATGAAAGCTTGACCATGTTGACTGTCGTAATGAAATTTTAGATTCATTGAAAAACTGAAATTTGACAAAAATATTTGTATAGTGTAATGAAACAGAGAAATGGCAGCTTTTTGACAGCAGCAAGCAGGCCTGTTATGAAAACTAATTTCAAAACATAGCATATATTTGCAATTTTTCTTTGATATTCACAGTTTAAAGTCCTTTGGATATTTTAAACATTCATGAAAATTTCCCTTTGTCCATTCCATTCACAGATTCTTGACATATATGCATGTTGTAAACATTTATTTTTTAGGCCCTCATAATAATTATAATTCATGTGTGTTATTCACAAGTATTATTTAGAGAACGATACGGGTTCTGTATCGTAGATACAAATTTGGGGGTGGATACGAGTGCGCAGTACGAGTCTCCACCCCCAAATTTGTATTACGATACAGAACCTGGCCAGTTCTCTAAATGATTTGTGAAACGATCAATCAAAAATATCTCCGCCCACTTTATAACTTTGCAGCATACAAACTTCCGCCAGAGTTCTGTAGATGAGGCCCCGACGGGTTGTACGCATCCACAGTTTATATATTTCCACGAAAAACGTAAAATTCGGTCAGATTAGTTTTGACAATTTTACGGGGTAGACGTAATCGAGTGATAGTCTTCATGGATAAATTGGAGGATTAAAACGTCATTGTTGTGATCTATTGTACATGGAGATTTATTATAATATATTTCAGGGGTCTTAAAATCCTTGTTTAACTAGATTAACAAAAACAGGATTTACAGAAAATTCTTCGATGGACTTTGATGTCACGGATTTATTTTCAAATGGAATTGCGACAATGAAAACGAAATGAAAGAGATGTGTGGCTGTCGTCAGCGAGAAGGATTTTAAAAGATAAAAACGCGGAATAATGGACTTGAATGATTTTGCACGAGGAGAGTGGATGTTTTTCCGTTATTGCGAATTTTTTCTCTTACTTTGGATCGAAATTACGTGTAGATTCTGTGTAGAATAAGTTTTTAAAAAGTGATTGAGAAATTTTGACATTTTACATTCTCAGGAAAATACTGGGTATTTCTCCAAAATTATAATAGGAAAACATCAGCATTTACTATTTGTACGTGCTTTTGCTAAATTGAATCAGATTTATTTTTAGACCGTGCTGTATTTTAGATGCAGAATATTTGGCAAATACAATACTTTATACAGGGCTAATACAGAACGGAAAGTAGCTCCGCCCACCACAGTCCCGTTCTGTATTGCTAATACAGAACACTAAACTTCAAGGAAAAACACCACAATTAAAATTGAGGGTAACAAACATAGCATTGCTTTAATCAATATTCCTTAAAATTTCCCTAAATCATATCTTAGATACTACGCTATATGTACGATATAAGAATTATTGATGTTGGATCTAGATTCATTAATTATTATATTTGTATGATTGTTAGAACCTAATGTTCTGCAAAAAGTTTGCTTGAAGTGTATTTCCCTTAATATTATAAATGGGCGAATCCAATGCCAGTTATATTGAGTTTAGATGATAGAATTTTACTTATAAGATTTGTATAAGAAAAAAACTAACTAAACGTTAGTATGTTTCTTCTCTAATAATTTAATTTTGTTTGTACCATGCATTTTTATTGGTTAAACACAAAGGAAATATTTATTCCATTTTGTATAATCTGGTTAGCTCTGGTGCCACGCCCCCTTGACAACCCCTGCCGGAACTACTTTTTATGTATGTGAATGTAAATATTATATATATATGCATATGCATGTAACTGTTTGTTTACATGATTTATGTAACTTAGATAGTAAAGGAAATAAAATGATTAAAAAGTATAAATTCTTCATCAACTTTATTGATGTATTAGTTAAAGTAAGATCTCTTCTTCCATTTATGCACATTTAGCAAAAAAATTAAGGATTGATTTTGGGTGAGTAATGTTTTCTGTGACATCCGGTCACAGAACGTCTGCTTTGTTTATAAACATCTTTTTTAAACATGGCATCAAACTTTGATTTAAATTTTAATTTTAATCAACATCTTGATCAATCAACAAAGAATGAAGATGATATAGACTTGGGGGCTCTAGACTTCCTCCTTGATGACGAATTCCAACTGGAACAAATTGTTTCCACATCAGCAGAAGATGCAATTAAGGAATTAGAGGCTGCATTTTCTGATGAAAGAAAAGAAAACTTTGCGCCACCAAAATTCGAAAATCATTGTGGACAATCTACATGTAAGAGGTTTAAAACTGCCACAGAAAAGGAACTTTGTGACCTACAGGAAAAAAGGCAGTCAAGATCTACTAAAAATAACACCAAATGGGGTGTTAAATTATTTCAAGGTAAAAAATCTTTATAAGTTGAAAGGGGTAAAGCAATATTAATATAACAATACACCATTATTTTAACCCAGATTGGGAATTGCACCCAAATCTCTCATGACATATGATCATAAGCGCTTTCTTTAAGCTATCCAGGTGTTTCTTCTGGTGTTTTGACAATTTTTACCCCCCCCCCCCCCTTTTTTTCTAGATTGGAGTATGGAATCACTAGGATACCTGACAGATTTCGAGACCATTTCTGCCAGTGATTTGAACACACTCCTTGGCAGATTTTATGCAGAAGCATGTAAACAGTCAGACAAACGAAAACCTAGCCAAAATATCGAATACCATAAAAATTCTTTCAAATCTGTCAGATCAGCACTCAACAGATACCTATAGGACTTGGGACGGGATTTTGATATTGTTAGGGGAAGGGAATTTCGCACTAGTAACAACATTCTAGATGGAAAATTGAAGAAAAAGCTGCAGGACGGCCTATCAAAGCCTACACAACATAAGGAAATTATACCTCAAGCTGATTTGCTCAAAATTTCTGCTTACCTTTTTGATACAGAAAATCCAATCACCCTCCGCTTCAGAACATGATTCATAATTTCAATGCAATTTGTCACACGTGGATTAGAATTCCATCACCAACTGAAACGGGACTCTTTTGTTTTCAAAACGGATGAAAATGGCGATGAGTATGTTACATTATCTCACGAAACAAAACAAAAAAATTGGCAAGGTGGGATCGACTCTACAGAAAATCCAAAGGAAAAGCGCATGTATGCTGTGCCTAGCGCCGGAGATAAATGTCCATTAAAAACGTTTAAACTCTTTATATCAAAAACAGATCCAAATGCTGAGTTCCTGTTTAATCGTTGTATCAAAGCCGCACTTTCTTCCCCTGAAAACTTGGAAATTTGGTATGACAACATTCCACTTAAACCATACCAATTTACTAGATTTATGGCAGACATTTCAAAGCATTCTAATTGCTCCCGAAGGTACACAGCCCACTGTTTACGGGCAACAGCTATTCAGAGCATGAACGATGCCGGGTATGGAATAAGACACATAATGCATATGAGCGGACACAAGAGTGAAGCTTCGGTTAGAAGTTATAACAGAGGCTGTACCACGATCCAAAAGAAAAACATGAGCGACACACTTAGCAGACTTACCGTTTCTACATGCAGCCGAGGGTGTATTCCTAAATCGCAGACTGAGGACCAGTCCATTGATCGCATGTCATCTAACGTTCCCATTTCCGCCTCGTCATCCAATCCCGGGATAGTTTCCCTTCAATCCTCGAATATTCTTTCAGCAGAATTCATGGCAAACTCCACATTTAATATCTGTGTTTTCAATTTTGAAAAATACCCGGCACTGCACTTTGTGTATTCCAAGATGTCTGCCGTCCTTTCGTCGGGCGTTGCTAAGCATATTCATGCGCGTATCACAGTTAACTTGTAAATTTAAATTTAATGTAAAAATAAATTATTCCTATCATTAAAAATTGAATTATTTATCTTTTAATTAAATAAGGAATGACTCTAATTCTTGGCCATATTATCGAGTATAATCTGGTTTGGGTCAGTTTACGCTTTTTTAATAATCCGCTTCGCGGATTATAAAGCGTAAACTGACCCAAACCAGATTAAGGATGAATTCTTCTGATCAATTTACCCCAAGTGGGTCTTCGTACTTAGACATGTTGTAAAACTCAAACTGATAACAATTTACAAAGAAGTTTTTAAAGTTTTTATGATTTATATGTTTAACTATATTTATTTTTAAATAAAAAATCTTTCTATGTTCTATAAATGACCAACACGTGTGCAAAATTACGATATTTACGACATAGGCCTAAGAAAGTCTGAAATCGACATCGAGAGGGGAAGACTCAAGAAGACGGGATCGCCCGTTTCAAAGCGACAGGAATGCCGAATGGCACTCCATTGAAAGAGCCAACCGACAGAAATTTTAAAACATTAAAAAAATTGTCGAGATCACAATTAAGCATACAGGAACATTCTCGAAAGCGGTACCCAAACATGCCAGCCAAGAGCGCCGAAGTGTGTTGACGCAGTGGAAAAGCGAAAATGTAGGTTAACAATGCTTTCAAACTGATTGAAAATAGCAATGTTTATGTGTTATAGATACAAAGGTTTCAAAATACATAGTATACTGTCACACCGCAAACTCAAACATAGCATATTACATGTAATATGTACGTAACGTTAGGCCTAAGGTCTCCAGAGGCGTGCAGACGACAACATTCGTATTATCTTTTTTATTACAACTTGAGCTTTTAGTATATGATAAATTACCTTTGATATTGTAAATGCAGAATCTCTATCTCAAATTTATAGACATACCGTAAGAAAATAATAAGATAACTTCTATAATTTTTAGCTGTTTACATTCGGTAAGAAACTAGGTCGCTTCATTCTATGGCGGCCTATGCTGGTTAAAAAAATGGAATATTTCTGAAACATCATGGAACATGTAGAAATTATTTTAGTCTAAACGACAGGCCTGAGTTCATAAAAACAAAGTCAGATAGACAAAACAATGATTTTCCATTTTTTGAATAATGATATTACCAGTAAATTATAATCTAATTTTTTTCTTAAAAAATTTTTTACAGGTAAGTCTTGTTTTCACAAGAATCACTAATGAAGGCAATTAGAAGAGAGCAGGATTTAAGATCCACTAAAATCAGATGGAGAAAACCATAAAAATCAGACTGAGAAAGTGGGACTGGATTTGACTAATCCCTGTGAAGCCACCATCCAACACCAAAAACCAGGACCCAATCTGGAACCCCCAGGCCAAGAGAAAGAGAGGACATCCAACAGACTATTGTGAAGTTTAATGTGTTAATTGATTACTTTTTGTTCTTAAAAATCTTTTCCTAACAAAATTGTAAATATTACCTGAAATTATCACACTAATTTTGAATATTTGGTGAATAAAACACATACTTTGATGCCCAAATGCTTGATTTATTTTCATTAAATGCTGAAAAAGAAACATGGGGTGGGGATATAAAAAATATCAAAACTTTCTTATATGTGCACTAACCCCTACTTTTCATGCTATGAAAAGAAGCCATAATACCTAAGGAAACTGGACAACAATTTTCTTAAAAAGTTTAATTGTAGAAATATGTTTTTCTTTGGTTTTTCGAGCAATTTTATAGGGAAAAATGTGCCTAATTCTGACATGGGTGAACAACATTTTTGGGTACAAGTTATCTAATTGGTATTTATTTGCTCATATTTTGTTTAAAAATTCAACATTGCAATACTTTCAAGTAAATTTAAGCCAAATTAAGTTTTAATTCACTGTATTTATAAGTTTTATGAGGTATTTTATTGTCTAGTAGCATTTTTAAGGAAATTTCCCATCCTCAATTTTGCCTATGTTCAAAGGGTTGAACCTCTCTTAGATGAACACTAACATACACTTTTCTTGTCTTTAAATTATTCCTTGGATATTACACTTTCAGAAAAATATAAGCATTAGAAAAGTTTAATGCACGTTTTTTTCCGCGTATCATAAGAATACATCCTTAAACTCGATAATATGCCAAGAATTAGAGTCATTCCTTAAATAAAAAAGTATACATTTATGTTGCACGTACACATTCAAGTTATTTTGACATTCATTAAGAATTTAAAACTGTTACATTTATTAAGCTAACACGTATGCTGCCCTGGATTTATACAAACTATCCAATGTTACTGAAGGCATTTAATACATGTCGTTCATTGTAAATTCTGATAAATGAATTTGTGTGCCTACTTTTAGAAGGGCCTATGTTGTTAACAACTGATATAAAGTTTATATAACACAATGTATCATGCCAATGGAGTGCTTAGCAAACAAATTGTAAGACTGTGATAGAGATTATAAGAATATTAATTAATTAATTAGTTTATATACATTTATATTTAAGTATTTACATTGACTAGAATAAGTATATAATGAGGTCTGTATACATTTATATATTTTCATGTGACTAAGGATTTTTTTTCACCAAAAAGTCTAAATCTACACATGCACAGGTTTAAAAGAAAATTCTGTTGTTATTTTATGATGAAGAATGTTTTTTGATTAACCTAATACAAATTTAAGAGTGAATAATTATGTTCTTCAATAAATGTCAACATATTTCTTCAAGATGGTGGAAGTTAGAACTGGATGCATTAAAGTGTTTGTTCTGATACATGTAAAGGTGTACATTATACTGTAACATTTAGTTAACAAAGAAATGGCATTTCATGTGTAGAAAGTGTTTTGAATTGAATAACTACTGTAACCAATTTAAATGAGGATAATATTTCTAATATGTGATTATAGATTAGACCTCAAAAAGATTTCTTTTTATAAAATAGGATATTTTCCCAAAAATTTGTCAGACAGAAATAGACATTTGTTATTTGGCTTCTATAATTGATTGTAATAAATATGACAATTGAACAATACTATACAGCCAGTACTGTTATTTAAATAGTTTTATGTGTCCTCATAACATCCTTATGTTTTCATATATCCTGCCCCAGCCCCATAATTCCCTGTAAATGTGAATGTATTTTTAGATCTGGTTGAAGTATCTCTAATGTCATGATATTCTTTATGTCAGAAAACACCATTAAATGCATTTACAAATTTATAGTTTTTTGGTGATATATAATTAAATTGTTTACTTAATAGCTAAAAAATACTTGCATCATGAGGTATACACTGTAATTTCAGACCAGGAGATTTAACATCAATTTTTAGAATATCTCAACTTTAAATCCATTTGACAGCACATTTTGTTTCGGAAAACATAGAGCACAAGCTTGCCTATCTACCTAATTTATATATTTTATACAATATCATATGCAGTTTATGTGTAAAAATCTCAGATAGGCTAGCTTGTGCTCTATGTTTTGCGAATCGAAGAGAAAAGTATCTCAAATATGATGAAATTCCACAAGAATTGACGAAATTCTGGAAAATGTCTTACTTCTGCAACCTCTCTTGGCTTCCTTGTACACGTAAGTTTTGAATCTAAATTAGTGCTTGTTTGAAAGTTAGCATCATTTTAACTTCCTAAGTACAAACTGTCACAATTTTGTCGGTGTTCTGATTTTTACATGAAATAAGTGGCCAGATTCGGCCGTTACCCTATCTTGTCCTTGAATTTACACTACCTGAGGATGCTTCCACCTAAGTTTTATCTTTCCTATTTCAGTTGTTCTTAAAAAGATTTTTTTTTAAAAAGGAATTTCATTAATTTTTCACTAATTATTAATTTTCTCCCCTTGGAAGAGGGTATGACCCTTTATCTTTAAAAACTTGAATCCCCATTACCCAATGATATTTTGTGGCAAGTTTGG